CCCAACAGAGGCAAAGGTCAAAAGAAAAAAAAATAATAACTTGGAAGGTTGCCTTGGAAATATAATGGATTTGGGAGTGCCTAGAAACAGAGTCAGGCTGTCAGAAGCTTAATAACCTGTCAAGAAACACAAAGAAGGGTCAAGGCTCACCAATAAGCTGAAGAGCAAGAATCACACAGATGCCTGAGTTTTAGTTGAAATACTTTAGCTTTCTGAGTCACCTGTCATTTTTTATCTTCTTCCAGATATGTTTTGCCCCAGGAATATTAAACAGCCTGCAGTACTAGGAAGACAAAGAGCTCATGCTCTTCTGACTACTGAAAAGTTGTCTTCTACTGCCTCGCTCACAAATTCTTAGTCATTTTTCCAAATCCCCATTTAGATATTGAATGTGTTGTGTTGCATTCCATGTTCCCTGTTATATTTGCAAGGACACTTCTAGTTGCAAGTGACAGAAAATCAATACAAAGTTTAAGCACAAAGACAAAATTGAGGGCTCATTTTATGGAGATGACAGGGATAAAATTGATTTTAAAATGGCTAAAACCAGCAGTAGAAGTCATTCATCAGGGCTCCATCATTTCTATCTGCTTCTCTTTGAGGAGGAACTGATGGCAAACAGTGCTCTGATCATATCCCACTAGCCTACCTTCCATACTAGAAAGAGGCTCTTATCCTATAATTCTGCCAGAAGCTTCTCTCAAGGAAGCTGCTGACTTAGATCACGTGCTCCCCATCTGCCATGGGCTCTGGCTGCTGGCCTGACAGTGTCTCTAGGATTAGAGTGCATGCTAAGTTGCTTCAGTCAAGTCCAACTCTTTGCAGCCCCAGACACCTCTGTCCATGGTATTCTCCAGGCAAGAATACTGCAGCGGGTTGCCAGGCCCTCCTTCAGGGGATCTTCTCCACCCAGGCTTCGAACCAGCATCTCTTAGTCTCCTGAATCAATAGGCAGGTTCTTTACCTCCAGCGCCACCTGGGATGTCCTGGATGAGAGCTGAGAAGGAAAATTCCCCAGTGAAAATGTAAGATGTCATCAACAAGAGAAATATGAATGAATTCTGGGCATTTAAAAACAAATGTCAACAAACACTCGACAAATCATGGTTTATCAGTTAAAATGGTTGTGGAAAGACTCTTGACCAGAGTGTCATGGGCCTTCAGTGGATTGATATGCATAAAAATACATGCAGAGTTCTGCCTACAGGTGGATCTCTCCAGGGAGGGGTTCATAACTTTAATGAAGTACAGCGGAGCCCAGAGTGGGCAGACAACAGTACTTGGAAAATAAATGCTTCCTACCCACCCTCACCCTCTGTTAATTTCCCCTGATTTATCAGAGCCCAAACACAAAGCCATGTAAGACAATGTGATAGAGTAAAAAACCGAAAGATAAGGACTTTTATTTGATTCCTTAGTTCTCATCAAATTCTCTTTGTCTCAGTTTAATCACTTGCTAAATGTGGATCGTAAGACCTAATTTGCAGATGAAAATAGTTTAACATGGTGGGTTCCCAGTACATTCTTGCAGTTACATAGCAACTGAGCAAGCAACAGAGACGCCCCAGGAACGATTCCTCTTACCACCACGCCACCCTATTTGTAGTAGGTTTAGCAGTTTAGCAATGAGGGATTCAGTCAAGTCACTTCAGCCCTCCCTTTAAGAACATCCACTGTCAGTACAGCCCAGAGAATCAGTCGCTTTTCATTCCACTTGCTATTTGTAAAATACTTCCCAAGCCACCTTCTGCATTCGTTTGTGAAGCCAGCCGGGAGAATTTCCTAAAGAGGTCTGTGCTACCTTCAGCTACAGATTTCTAGGTGACCTTCTCTGCCCCTTTGAACACACACAGAAGGGCGAGCCCAACCCCCAAAGTAGTATTCACAGGAGAGAACCTCTCACTTTCCCCAGTGTGAAAGGAAGGATCAAGCTTATTAACACTTACAATTAAATCAGAGGCTGAAGCTTTGCTTTCAGAACTGCTCAGGGTAATTTGTTGTTAGGCAAAAATAGAACAGAATATAACCATATTAGAACGATAGAGAATATAGAGGATTTTGCATCTGTTCTCCAGTTTCAGAAATCTAATTTGTGAGATTGATGTTTTTTTAGAAAAAGCAGAGTTTGCATGTTAGTGGCTGAAAAGTTTGTCTTTCTTGGAATTGTCATGGGTATACGTTATGAAAAACTGAAAGTTTGCAGTTTTTAACATAGTGGCATAGCATATTGACATAAGTTTTCTATATGAATTTGACATTTTGACTTTTTTAGTTAAGGTCATTAATTCATCCTTTCACTGAGTCATTTCAGTAAATCTTTACAGATGACCACTTTATTTTAGGCACTAGGGTATATTTGATATTTATCTGAATTACTATACAAATGGAAGTTATTCTGTAAAGTGAGAAATTTTTTTAAAAGGTCTCTTTTCACTTCTAAGTAAATTAAATAATGGAAGAAAATGCAAAGAATTTTTAAATTTGTTGTTACCTTTGCCTTAACATTATTAGTTAAGTCATGGATGTTATCTGTGATTCCCTGGTAGCTCAGATGATAAATAATCTGCCTGCAATGTAGGAGACTCTAGTTCGATCCTTGAGTCAGGAATATCCCCTGGAGAAAGGAATGGTTACCCACTCCAGTATTCTTTCTTGGAGAATTCCATGGACAGAGGAACCTAGTTAGTGGTCTATAGTCTATAGAGTTGCAAAGAGCTGGACATGACTGTGCTGGATGTTGCCTTAGTGAGATCTCAATATACAAGTCTTTAATTTTTAAAATTTCATGATAAAGTTTTATTATGTACTGATAGTAGTATAGTATTATTGCTTTCTACAAGAGACAAGATGTTAAGAATGTAATATAAAAATGATCTATTCAGAGACTATTTCACTCCTGCTTTCCCTTTGGTGTAATTCATTTCTATGCCAACATGAGAGGAACGTCTCTGAAGATTCTCAAGCACTCTAAATCTTTATCTATAGTTATTTCTGAATAAATTAGATCTATATTCTTTGGTTTTCCATACCCATTCACTATTTAATTCAACATTTATATTGAATCCTTGCACATACTAATGTGATGTGCTGCTTCATTTGAAAATGTTGTCTTCAATAAGGTATTCCTTTGAAAATTATTTTCCCGTGAGATGTCATTAGGACTTCTGCTAGCTAAATAAACAAGCAAAGTGAGTAAGTAAATAAAGGAATAAAATATTAGATTTTAATGAGTAAGGNTAATTCAACATTTATATTGAATCCTTGCACATACTAATGTGATGTGCTGCTTCATTTGAAAATGTTGTCTTCAATAAGGTATTCCTTTGAAAATTGTTTTCCCGTGAGATGTCATTAGGACTTCTGCTAGCTAAATAAACAAGCAAAGTGAGTAAGTAAATAAAGGAATAAAATATTAGATTTTAATGAGTAAGGTGCACACTGAAATAAACACGGATATATTATAAAACATATAGTGGTTAGGTACACTTTCTCTGAGGAGCATGTTTTTCAGCTGAGTTTTGAAATATAATTGTGTCAGGTGTAATCTGAGCTGGGGAAGAATGCTTCAGATAGGAAGATGAGCAAGTTCCTCAGTTCTGAGTGAGAAAGAGTCCAGTCTGTTTGAGGGACTGAAAGGAATCCATTGTAGTCAAAAGGATCCTGAAGGTCAAGAACTTTAAAATTATGCTAAATAGGGAAAAATAGAGAGGTTATTTGGAAAGCTAAAGAGTGACACAATATAACTTAAATTTAGAAGATGAATCTGGCTGCTTTGTGGATAATAGATTGTAGATGGGCAAGAATGATATTTTAGGGAACCAGTTATTTGGTGATCACAGTACTTCAAGAGAGATGAACCTTTTCAGAGTTGTTCTTCTTTATGTTGATATTCCCTTAAGAAATGTGTGTTGAACTGCTGGAGGTCATATGCAAAATCACTTTTTCTCAAGAATACAGCATTGGCATACAGGCAGCAGTGGCAGACAGTAGGACAAATAACCAGTCTCTTGATGTCTTTTGTTTATTTGATAATTATTTGTCTATGTGACATGTTCATCTTATAATTTCAACATGTAAGTTTAATATGATTCAATATTTATTGTGTACTGAATACAATGGACATTAATTTCCCCTAGAACCAATACTGACTCAATATCTAAGTTGATATTATAATGAAATTTGCCAAGAAATGAATAACTTGTGGTATTGATATAATGTAAAAGACTTTTGAAATAATATGTGTAAATAGCAAATATATTTTAAAACACCATTTTTAAATGCTAGAATATGATTTCCAGTCTGTACATTATTAAGATCACTTAAACTATAACTATCTGAGAATCTGTTTCTTAGTTCAAAGTATCATGTGTATCAAACTGAGCTAATGTTTTACAAGAATTAAATGCCTTCTGAGAATTTTTTTTGTAAATTAACTATATTTGGACTAGAACTACTAAGATAATGGCTGTTAAAATAATGACAGTGAGACCAATTTAAGACCAATTTAAGCACCAATTAAGTGCTTATGGTAGTGGTACAAAATTAAGTCCAGTTTATTTATTTGCTTGTTTTAAAATTGCAGATGTACTGTCTCTTAGGGAAGATGAATGTGCTCATAATTGGTCTTCAGTATTCAGTCTTTATTTTTTTTTTATACTTTAAGGATTCAGACTAATACGAATTTTACTTCATCTCATAAACTAAGAATTTCTCAATTAATAACTCATGGATACTACTTTACAAACATTTTAAACTTGATAGATACATTTTTCCAACTAGAAAATATTTTAAGTAAATTTTACATTCCATAAATATTATAAATATTTTTCAAAATGCTAATCTAAATTTTAGAAATATTTATGAAATGAGTATAATTTAATGTTTATTATGATTATTTGTTTGTATTTACTAGTTCTTAACCACATTCAAGTAAACTCGAATTTTTTTATACTTCATGTTCGTATTTTAGATTTTAAAGGCACAATGTTTTTATTTTGCAGATTGTTGCCTTGCGTGAACAAAATGTTCATATACAAAGAAAAATGGTATCAAGTGAGGGATCCACAGAATCTGAACATCTTGAAGGGATGGAACCTGGCCAGAAAGTCCATGAAAAGGTATCATGCATATGACATGCTCTTACATGGAAATGTTTACTTGCTATATCCTTTGACAGGAATATGAAATATCTGTGTAATTCTTGTAATAAACATTACCATGTTTTGACTTGGTCAAAAGTGCCTTATGATTTCCCTTATCATTAATTGCTCATAATCTGATTTTCTCAAAAATAATGTGTGTGGGTTTATGTGCATATATATATATTTAGATTTCTGATTACTTGTTATTAACTTGATTCTCTTAAGAAGAATTTAATTATATATCTGACTGAACATATCTCTAATTGAATAAATATGCCTGTGTATATATATATATATATATATATTAGTAATATATATCCAGGACTGTTTAAAGTAAAATAAGTTTGATTTATAAGTGGTTTTATGTATAGCTGGTGACTTATCTGTGGCTTATCACTGCAAAAAATGTTGATAATATCTTATTTGACTTTTCATTTTCCATGTGTTTGATGCTAGAGATACTCTAGCGGTACCTCTGTTAATGAGAAATTACAGGAAAGGATATCTGACGTCATCCAACTTTTGCTATTTTTTTAGAAGGAATTGATTTTCCTTGTGGGTGGGGCATAGACCAAGATCAAGGAAACCTACAGTCTCTTCTGGCGCCTTTCTGCGCTATTCTGTGCTGAACCACTTTTTCCCAGCACAAGAGAAAGAAGGTCAGTTGCTGGTAGATCTGGAATCACATGAATATTAAATATAGGTATTTGTACATCCTGTGCATGAGGCTTGAACTATCTCCTGGGTGTTTGCAAGTTATAGCTTTGGATGGCTGAACTCCTTAATCGTCAGGAGCTCATGGAGCAGGTATCTAAACTGGTATCATTGTGCATATCAAGAGGTTTTAAAACATAGAGATTAAGAAGCAAGTGACTGGACCACAATACAAATAGTACTAGACCTTTGTTGTTTAGTCACTAGGTTGTGTTCGACTCATTGAGACTTCACGAACTGTAGCCCACCAGGCTCCTGTCCATGGTATTTTCCAGGCAAGAATATTGGAGGGAGTTGCCATATCCTTTTCCAGGGGACCTTCCTGACGCAGGGATCAAACTTGCATCTCTGCATCTCCTACTTTGCAGGTGGATTCTTTACTGCTGAGCCTCCAGGGAAGCCCTAGACTTCTTACCATAAATGCACATTTCCTCATTTGTCCAATTGAAACAAGTGAAGGGGCTTCTTATGTTTCCTCCTTTAAGTGTTAAAGCAAAAGAAGTCCAGTAAATCAAGCTAATTTCCCAGGAACACCAATCCTGGTGGCTGAGAAGCAACTCTTCGTTAAAGGCCTTTGTATTTTAGCCTTTATCCATGTATTTTATAGAAATCTTAAGCTAGGTATTAAAAATAAGCTACAATCTGACAGACAGATTTCATGAGCTATATTTCAAATTTGAATAAAACTTATTTCTCTTTTCTTTAGATAAGTTAACTGACATTAACTCAGTAAATAAACCACCAAGCTCTCAAGAATAAGGCATCTACACGAAATAGTTTAGGAAACTAGCATGCCATTTTTGTATTACTGTTTCAGTTTAATTATGTCATCAGTGATACAGTGATACACCTTTTCTCAGAGAATTACATAATCACACTGTTTTGGATGTGAAAATGAACTTTATGGTCATTTAGTCTTTTTCTTAGAAACCTTCACAATATAATGATGCCACATTATGCTAATCCAAACTAAAATTTAAAAAATATGATTTCAAAGGTATAACGTGTTTTTTATTTAATATACATTTATTTATTTTAATTGGAGGCTAATTACTTTACAATATTGTCGTGGTTTTGCCATACATGGACATGAATCCGCCATGGATGTATATGTGTAGACCGTATCTATTTGCTAACAAACCATTTGGTGCTTAAAGCATTTCTCTAGTACTTCTGGGGAGTGAGGAGTACTCATACATGTATTTTGTTTGCAAATTTATTTCTTTGAAATATAACCCCTAAATATTCAAGCATTATAGAATATAAGACAATTGATGTCAGATTGATTTTTAGAAACTAATTACAGAATTAGGATGAGAACCTACAAATAAATGATGTTTGTCTTTGTTGGACTCAACAGATAGTGGTGTGTGTGGGGGGGAGGATTCTGAGTATTTTAAAACTCAAAGAACTTCTATAACTGTCTTTGCCTTCCTGTTCTGGAGGAAGGCATTTCGGCCAGTGCAGAAGAGGAATTCTGTGCCATTGCTAACTCACTCTTTTTAAATGGGTGTATAGAATGGATGTACATGGATTAAAGATTTTTAAAGACTGCAATTAACAGTATTCTGTTTTTCAATTTCCCTGAATTGTAGGAAGAGTGATTTCCAAATGCTCGGAGTAATGGTATACTAGGATATTTCAAAATATCATGTACCTATCCTGAAATATAATCCTAAAATATATATCATATGTATTTTTTCATTTTAAAAATAAGTAATCTGTGCTTTAATTCATATTGCTCTTGAGATTATTCAAGAAAGTACTTTAAATTTTAATTTATATCACATTTGTCTACCTGACATTTCTTTTGTTTTCAACTTTATTGAGATATAATTGACATATAAGATTATGTAAGTTTCAGGAATGCGATATGTTAGTTTGGTATGCAGATTGTATGAGTTTAAGGTATACAGTGTGATGATTTTGTATAATTATGTAAAATGATTACCATGATAAGACATGATAAGATTAGTTAATGCATTCATCACCGTGTCTCTATGTGTGTGTGTGTGTGTGTGTGTGTGTGTGTGTCATGAGAAGCTTCAAGATTTACTTTCTTAGTAATTCTCAAGTATAGTTGCAGTATTATCTATAGTCACCAATTTATATATTAGATCCCCAAAACTTATTCATCTTCTAGCTGCCTACATTTTTTGATAAAAGATGACATAATATCCTAAGTATTATTTTATCATCCTTATATAAATACTTAAAGTATATATATGAACATTATAAATCTTTTCAAAAGTATCCCTTCTAACAGAATTATTTAAAGTGTGTTTATACCATTGAATAACAAGTGTTATAAGGTTGTAATTTAATTCCTTACAATTAATTTTTCTATAAGGAGTATTTAGAAAGTATATTAAAACAAAGGGAAAGAGAGTATTATTTGGGGGAGTGTCTGTGTAATGAAGATTATCAGTGTAGGATGACTGTAGTATTAGTGTATAAATTGCAAAGTGGTTGTTGGAGGGGAAAACACAGAACTATTACTGGATACTGTGGAACTGTCAGAAAGTGCCTGGTAAATCCTAGTCACAAGGATTGTTCTTTGTTTAGGGCAGTAAAGTTATTTAAATTACATGGTCAGAGTGGGTTATTAGCCAAGAGGAGATGTTTTACGTCAGTGGCTTCAACACTCTGTTGACAAAATAGTTGATAAAAATAGTCTTACAAAGCACACTCTGAAACAGACCTATTACTCATAGAAAAGTTGTGTAATTATTACCAACATTTAAGAAATAAAAATGAAAAAATAAGTTTAACTGAAACAGGTCTGTTTCTTTATGCCACATATTTAATCAATTGTTCTAGAAGAACATAAATATCCACAGGATAATAACAATTTTTCAGAACACTAAATTTTCCCTCATTAAAGGTTCAGACTAGGACCAATAAGTTTCTCTTCCTGTTGCTTTCTACTGGGGAATTACTGTGTGGAAGAAATTTAGTAAACAAACTGCTCTGGTAAAGAGGTAATAATGCTCCTGACTTATAACTCTACTTGCAATTATTTTTTTCAGCTGAAATGTTTGCTAAGTGAGTGGATGAGTAGAATGTTAGACAGTGATTGAGATTCAGAAGACATAGTCACTAAATTTTGCAGGAGTGAAAATAATCTGCCCAAATTAATATTGCAAAACGTGATGAATAAAGTGATGTCAAAAATGATAATAGAGTTTAAAGGAGAGATGTATCAGTTGTGGTAGGAGGTGTCAGTGAGGCCGCGTGGAATAGTAATTTGGTTGAAGTCAGTAGACCTGGGTTCAAACCCTATCTGCGTCATTTAAATAGTAGCTGGTGTCTTTATGCTACAACCTCCCTGAGCATCAGTTACAGGTAACTAGTCATGCCTTGCTTGTAACTTCGTTGTAAAGAATACAAGCAATAGATAAGCACTGCGGTCACTGTATTTATTAATACCGTGTTCTCATAGTCATTCATTTTTCAGTAAATATTTAGTGGTGAACTTACTGAAGTGCTCAGAAATAGGTTCTGTTCTGGGTGGTTGGAATGCTAATGAATAGGGCAGAGGTAAGTAAAATAAGCACATACACATAAAGGGAAATGAATGTGATCAAGGGGCAGGGGCAAGGTCGATGTGAAGGTTGCTAAGTAGGCAGGGCACTGAATGCCTTTTCGGGAGGTGGTGCTTGACCTGGAACCTGAAGGAGCGCAGGGAGTGTGAAAAAGAGTTCCTGAAACGAAGGAGACGCTCCGACCGCGGGGAAGACCTTCTTGGGCACGCTCCTGGGAAGAAAGGAGGGCCGCGTACCTGGAGCCGGGTTTTCAGGAGAGGGAGAAGCAGGAGACAGGGCACGCGGGGGCAGTGTGTGTGCCAGACCACTGGCGATCCGTCTCGTTGGCCGCAGCAGGAAGTCCAGCTTCATTTTCAGAGCAATGGGAAGGGTTTTCAACGTGGAAGCATCTTGATTAGATATTTCTTAGCGAATCATTTGTACTACATCTTTACATCCATTTATCATTTTTTCTCATATCAGACTTCTGAACCAGTTAGAGATTTTTTTTCCCTTTTCTTAATTTTATAGCCAATGATATTGAGGTCTGTTTAGATTAAGTAGGATTAAGTGAATCCTACTCTTATTTGTCCAGAGGAGGACCAAAACTTTGGTCTTCTCACCTGCTTTGTGCTCGCATGTTCCTTCATGCCAGGATGCTTTTTCTAGGTGTTATTATTGGTTTCTGAAAAGTCATTCTTATCCAATATTATTTTTTTCTGAACGTTTAGTCTTTCA